CAAAGATATTAGGATTGAGTTTAAAATAAACAACCTGTGCTGGCATAAAAAGAACAGTAGATTTTAAGTCAGATAAAGTCCTGACTTTGCTGTTTTACTGAGTGACCTTCAGCAAATTTTAAAACCCAGAGGACCTCAATTTTCTCAACTGTAAACTGGGACAGCATGGCCCCACCTACAGGTTGCTGTGAGGGTTACTGAACACATGTAGAATGTGTAGTGTGGTGCCCATTACAGTAGTTCAGCAATTTTTGTAACTGTCATCATCTGTCAACCATCATCATCATAAAATAACAAGCTGCAATGCTGTGACTGCCTCTGTCCCTACTCAGATACTGTTAAGATCTAACACAACAATGTAAAAACAAAAAACCATCTAGAGCAGCTGTATCAGTATTAGCTAATTCTTAGTCATGGAAGTCACACAGGTCACCTGTCATCTACTGCCGTCCTATAAAATCAAAGCCTGCAACATAGTAGACATAGAAATACTAAGAAGCAGAACCAGAGAGGCTATGCAGGCAGCTTACCTACAGAGTAGCATGGAGGAGGCAAGGAAGGGAGAAAAACTATTAAAGAAGAAACATCTAGGACTATTTACTGTAGACGTGTACTCATGCAGCCTTGCTAGCCTGGGAGTGTAACTCTTAGTGGGAAAGCTACTGTTCTAAGTCACCATCACTCAGCTAGGTTATTTTGTTAAAGGTTAAAAGAGAAATTCTCTGGCTGGGCATGGTGGCACACACCTTTAATCCCAGCACTTGGGAGGCAGAGGCTGGCGGATCTCTGAGTTCAAGGCCAGCCTGGTCTACATAGTGAGTTCCAGGACAGCTGAGGTTACAGGGAGTCCCCCTGTCTCAAAAAGACCAAAAAAATAAATAAATAAATAAAAGTGAAAAGTTTTGCTGTTTAAAAAAATAGGCTTTTGCCAGGTGTGGTGGTGAATGTCTTTAATCCCCAGCACTTAGGAGGCAAAAGCAGGTGGATCTCTGTGACATTGAAGCCAGCCTGGTCTACATAGTGAGTTCCAGGGCAGCTGAGGTTACAGGGAGTCCCCCTGTCTCAAAAAGACCAAAAAAAAAAAAAATTTTTTTTTAAATTTACATGAAATTGTTCAAAGACCAACAATGTTAGACAAATGTAGTTTCTGTGTGAAGATACATAATGAGGGGAGAGAGGACTATCTTTTTACTGTTCTTTTTAGAAAATTGTCAATATAAGAAAATTGACTCTTAGTTACGGCTTTTTCAGATGTTTCAAAATTATTTTTTAAGAAAACAATCACCATAAGTCTGAGAAGGATGACGGAATAAATGAGATTATGCATTATGTCTCCCCCTTTCCACCAGGGTTTACTTTCTTTCAGAAAATCCCAAAGTTTTCTTTACTCTTTATTCCATGAAATCAGTCACTTGGCTACTCCAGAGAACCCAAAGTGTAAGGAAAGTAGAGCGGTGCTCATTTCGCACAGGGCTAGGACCTGATTCTACATGAGCAGTGGAGGAGACAAGGTTCCATCCAGTCTCATACTCACCCTAGTGGGCAGAAGGCTGGCCTTGGAGGTTTGTTTTTTTCCCCTCCTTTTCTAACACTGGCCTACACCTGACTTGAAAGTAACAAGCTCTATATGAATTTTAAGCTTTAGAAGAATTTAATAACTGGAATGCTTTGTTATCCATTCAATATTAAAGGGTTAAAGCAGGCAGGTCTTTTTTGAAAATGTGGGTTTTTTTGGTCTTTTTGAGACAGGGTCTCCCTGTAGCCCCAGCTGACCTGGAACTCGATTATGTAGACCAGGCTGGCCTCGAACTCACAGAGCTCCACCTGCCTCTGCCTCCCAAGTGCTGGGATTAAAGGCATGCACCACTGTGCCTGGCAAGGATCTTATTTTTAATCAGTCCACTTGAATATTAAATATAGAAAACACTGACAAAATAGTAACATATTTAACTTTTTCTCTCCCATGCTCATTCCTTTATTCTTTTGCCCTTTTAAGTCTTTCTTCAAAATTTTATTCCATTTAATTGTTTTTATTTTATTTTTTGATAGGGTGTCCTCAGTCCCAGCCCACCTGAAAGTTACTATGTGGACCAAGTTGGTCTTGATCTCACAGAGATCCCCCTGCCTCTGTCTCCTAAGGGCTGGGATTAAAGATGTACACCACCATGCCCAGTATCTCTCTCTCTCTCTC